AAGTCATGGGCCACACATGGGCCGGAAGTTAAAACGGGCTAGAATCATATTGGACGGCCCAGATGACACTACTGGGCCTAATTCGGAGAGGTCGTAATGGGCCCTGGGTTAGTGGGTTGTAAATGGGCTATATGCGAACATGCCATTAACAGGCTTTCTGTGGGCCGGGCCGCCACCTTTTGACCAAGTCAAAAGGGCTGGCCTTTTCATAGGAATGGGCTTCTGTTGGGCCGTGCCATGTGTCAACGTATCATAGGCGCCTTCGGTCCAATGAGTGGATGACATCTGTCCCAATGGTGAGCCGACACATGTTTCCTCCAGCCAATGATGATTTTACACGTGGAAAATCCCCATTGGTCGGGGCTGTTAACGGGTTATCGGATCCAAAACCGAACCCGATAGCTTAACGGCGTTCCGTTACGGTGGATGCCATGTGTCGGTCACCCTTGACGAAAGCACTTTTGTGACGCACGAGTTATCGTCATGGAAGTGGACACTTCCATGATGATAATTTTGGTAATGTCATGGAACACTTCTACGACAGCACAGGTATGACTATCTTGATTCTGTCATAAAATCGTCATGGATGTACATGCATGACAGAAAACATGACCTAATGTGACAAACACATATCATCACAGAAGTGTATTTTTTTGTAGCGGAATGTCGCAGATCCGTTGACTAAACCTCTTCCACGAGCAAAACATGATCAGCACCAGAACTCTATGGGTGTTTGATTCATCACAATGTAACTAGATTATTATTGACTCTAGTGCAATTTGGAGACCGTTGGAAATATGCCCTAGAGGCAATAATAAAATGGTTATTATTATATTTACTTGTTCATGATAATTGTCTATTGTTCATGCTATAATTGTATTAATCGGAAATCGTAATACATGTGTGAATACATAGACCACAACATGTCCCTAGTGAGCCTCTAGTTGACTAGCTCATTGATCAATAGATGGTTATGGTTTCCTGACCATGGACATGGGATGTCATTGATAATAAGATCACATCATTAGGAGAATGATGTGATGGACAAGACCCAATCCTAAGCATTGCACAAGATCGTGTAGTTCGTTTGCTAGAGCTTTTCTAATGTCAAGTATCTTTCCTTAGACCATGAGATTGTGCAACTCCCGGATGCCGTAGGAATGCTTTGGGTGTATCAAACGTCGCAACGTAACTGGGTGACTATAAAGGTGCACTACATGTATCTCCGGAAGTGTAAGTTGGGTTGGCACGAATCGAGACTGGAATTTGTCACTCCGTATGACAGAGAGGTATCTCTGGGCCCACTCGGTAATGCAACATCATAATGAGCTCAATATGACTAAGGAGTTAGCCATGGGATCATGCGTTATGGAACGAGTAAAGATACTTGCCGGTAATGAGATTGAACGAGGTACGGGGATACCGATGATCGAATCTCGGACAAGTAACATACTGATGGACAAAGGGAATTGCATACGGGATTGATTGAATCTCCGACATCGTGGTTCATCCAATGAGATCATCCTGGAACATGTGGGAGCCAATTTGGGTATCCAGATCCCGCTATTGGTTATTGGCCGGAGAGATGTCTCGATCATGTCTGCATGGTTCCCGAACCTGTAGGGTCTACACACTTAAGGTTCAGTGATGCTAGAGTTATAATTGGAAATTGTATGTGGTTACCGGGATTCTTGAATGAGATCCCGGACATCACGAGGAGTTCCGGAATGGTCCGGAGGTGAAGATTTATATATGGGAAGTCCATTTTCAGTCGCCGAAATAGTTTCAGGGGTTATCAGTATTGTACCGGGACCACCGAAAGGTGTCCAGGGGTCCATCAGGTGGGGCCACCTATCCCAGGGGACCAACTGGGCTGAATATGGGTGGGAACCAGCCCCCTAGTGGGCTGGTGCGCCCCCAAGGGCCCAAGGCGCCTAGGGTTGGAAACCCTAGGGGGTAGGTGCGCCTCCCACCAACTTGGGGGGCAAGCTTCCCCCTTTGGCCGCCCCCCCTCTAGATGCATCTAGGGGGGCCGGCCCCCTCTCCCCTTCACCCTATAAATAGAGGGGGGAGGGCAGCCGCAACCCTTCCCCTGGCGCACCCCTTCCCCCTCCTACATCTCATCCTCCTCCTCCGTAGTGCTTGGCGAAGCCCTGCCGGAGAACCACGAGCTCCACCACCACCACGCCGTCGTGCTGCTGGAGTTCTCCCTCAACTTTTCCTCCCCCCTTGCTGGATCAAGAAGGAGGAGACGTCCCCGGGTTGTACGTCTGTTGAACGCGGAGGTGCCGTCCATTCGGTGCTTGGATTGGATCTTCCGCAATTTGAATCGCCGCGAGTACGACTCCATCAACCGCATTCTTTTAACGCTTTCGCTTAGTGATCTTCAAGGGTATGAAGATGCACTCCTTCTCTCTCGTTGCTAGCATCTCCTAGATCGATCCTGGTGACACATAGGATTTTTTCTGAATTATTACTACGTTCCCCTACAAGGACCACTGGCCGCACAGGAAAGAGAAGGAAAAAGTTTGCCAAACCGGACCCGTGACAACCTCCTTAAATGCTCGGGCTGTTTGGCACTCCTCATATTGGCCTCATATATTGGATGAGTATGAGGAGTGCCTGGGCATGTCCGATCAGTGGTCATACGTCCGCCACATAGGATTTAGCCCACCATGGAGCATCATTTTCCTTTCTTTATTATTTCTTTTCATTCTCTCTCCCCTTCTCCATCAGTGACATGCATGTGATCAGACGTATAGGGATGAAATGAGGGACATGGCTATGTGCACGGAAAAATAGGGAGTCAAAATCGATATGCCCGGTCACTGATCGGGCGCGTCTGCGGATGTTTGAGAGGCCAAATTTGCCCAGTTGTGTTTCAAACTTTGTGCAAAACACACAGGTAGGGTCTGAAACTACATGACATTTAGCTAGGTAATCCCTTGTTAAACTCTTGTTATGTATAATGGGCCACATGAAGACATGTATACTGGGGGCACCTTAATTTTTCAAATACAATATTGAAGCATATAAGGGATTCCCCCTAAGTTAATCAACTTGTAAAACGACCTGACAGAATATGTACGAGAAGGCTCAAGCACCCAAATAGGGGCATCCTTATTAGTAGAAAGAGTTTTAGTTTGTACTATGGCAAGTAGTTGAAGCCTTCTTGAGTATAATTATTCATTCACACATCTTCTAAATGGAAGTCTCAAAGTGGCACCATTCCACACCTAGGCAACTCTATCTTGTTGTTGATAATTTTCAAATAGATCCAGATCATAGTTCTAAGAGAAATTTCTCTAGCCCAACAATCATGCCATAAAAGCAATGTTATCCCCATTACCCACTTTGCACTTGTAATTTTTTTAAATGCCCAGTGAACACTCTTCCAAAAGTTAGGCCCCACAATAGATTACTACACAAAATATTAGCTTTATTGGTACCATATTTATTTATTTTTGTGAATACGCAAAGCTTGTGGTACAATATTTAAAACACAGTGTATCCTTCCAGTCACCGTTTCTATTATCAAAGAATCTCTTGCTCCAAGCTACCAAGACTGATTGTGCATTGGTGGCGAAGGCACTACAACGTGATGTCTATTCTCGATCAGTTGGTTTCTCGATTGTTGTTGATATAATGGACATAGTTAAGAGTTTCACTTCATGGAGTGCCACAACGGTCATCAGGGAAGGCAACAAATTGGCTCATGGTGTAGCTGCTCATACAAGGCAGGTTACAAAGTAAGGACTGTGAGAGGGGGAAATATCTGGTGCTCCAGGAGCACCCAAGCTTAGGTGCTCCCGTGCGAGCTCGGCCATTGGATCTTAGATCCAAGAGCTCCTGTGAAATGATGAACGTTTTTGGAAAAAAGCCCTCATAGAATCTGAAAAATGCAGGCAAGTACATCAGCTCCTCATATACCATTGGATCTGAGATCCGAGGGCCCAGAAGTCCGTATCATGGGAGCACCTATGCCCCCGTATCACAGGATACTCTCCCCCGTGAGAGAGCGAGATCTAGGGGGAAACTGTATAGGAGGGTGAACACGAGGCTAACTAGGTTATATCCAGTCATAAAGCTTGGAACTTATTTAAAAATTCAAATTCAAATTCCTTCATAAATGAACTTGGGTTGAACAAAAATGACCTTACTAATTCTCTACTATTAACAAATAAATTATACGAAATTCATGGGTCATGTGCACTCACAGACCAACCGAACGCACAAAGTTGTCCAAATAAGCTTTTGCCTCGCTTTATAATAAAGTTATCCAAGTGTGGAATGCACAGAGTTGCTTGAGATTCTATCGTCGGAACCGAATCTGGGTTGAACAAGTCGAATTCAGTTCTTGGAAAACATGGCACAATATAAAAGGGCGGCATTGCTCACAAAATTAGCATTAAATTGATTTTTTTTCACCTTCGTCATTGTGAAAAGAAAGCCAAATCAAACAGGAATAACACCTACTACCCTTACATGTCACGGGTCGTGACGCATACCAATTCGCAAAGCGGGTAGGTAGGAAAAGGTGCCGGCACGTTGCCCCGTTCCAAAATCCCGATGAAATAGTCAATCCACACTGAAAATTCCCACCATGACACAAGAACAGTTTGTAATTTGTACAGACTGCAGCCAGCACAATTTTATTCATTTCATTCCTAGAGTCAAACGCAACACAATCGCAGCCAAGCCAAGCCAAGCCAAAGCTCTGCACGCTCCCGCCACCAGAGGGAGAGAATTGAGGCCGCGCCTATATATTCTGCCGAACCAGGTGCGGCCTCGCCACAACACCACCCACACGGACACGGTCCCGCCTCGCGAACCATCGTCGGCCTCCTCTCCTCTTTCTCTTTCTCTTTCTCCCGCGCGATCCACACACAGGCCAGCTTGCTACAGAGAGCGAGGCACGACGACGTACGTGTCGAGCTGATCGCGGCGGCCGGAGGCGCTCGATATATGCTGCGCGGTGACGGCGACGTTGCGAGGTAGCTATGCCGCCGATGAGGAGCGACGGGGTGATCAAGGCTGGCGCAAGGGAGAGGTCGTCGTCGCCGTGGAGGTCGCTCCTGGGCGGCTGCCTGGGCGGCGCGGCGGGCGACCACGAGGCGAAGAAGAAGGTCCGGCCGCGCTCCGGCGGCGGCGGCGGCGGCGGGCTGCGGCGGCTGTCATTCACGGACCTGAGCGGCGCGGCGGACGAGGACCTGTCCATCTCCCTCGTGGGGTCCAACCTGCACGTGTTCACCGTGGCGGAGCTGCGGGCGGCCACGGGCGAGTTCGCGGACGACAACTTCCTGGGCGAGGGCGGGTTCGGGCCCGTGTACAAGGGCTTCGTCGACGGCGGCGTCAAGCCGGGGCTCAAGCCGCAGGCCATCGCCGTGAAGCTCTGGGACCCCGAGGGCGCGCAGGGCCACAAGGAATGGCTGGTACGTCCGCGCCCCACGTGTCCTCCTCGACTCCTCATCCATCCATTAATCTTCTTTGCGCGTGCAATAGCCACAGCCCAACGGCAACCGGTAGAGTAGTGGTCGTAGTATGCGGACGGCTGCGCTAGCTGGAGTAGCTTTTCTTGGAAGAGATTCCAATTACATCTGACATCGATGGCCTAATATAATGCATGCTTGGGGGAGGGAATAGGGCTTGGATTTCTTTCTTACAGTGAAAGAGTGGGCTCTTGCATGGTTAACCAACAAGTTTGCATAGGTCCCTTACAAGGATGTCTAAATCCAATCCTTACATCTGGTGCACCATTGAGTAACTTTGTGGATAATCGAAATTCAAAAGCTATACCGTCGCAGGAATTCTCCTGGAGTGGTTATTATCAATCATTTATTAATAGTATAACGTAGATCCAGTTTTGCTGGGAAGCAACCTGTGTAGTATGTAACCTGTAGCCAAGAAGCAATCCTTTTAGAGTTATAGGCAAGTTAAGCTAGCTCGCTGTCCTAAAACGGGCGTGCAAGTTCGAGCTTTCTTCCAGGAGAATATTCTTGGTTACACAGTAATTGAGCTGTTCCTCCTTGTGGACTTTTCACAAGTTTTTTTTGTGTGTTCACAACATTGCTTACTTCGCAATGAAAACATAGCTAGCATCAAGATCAATTGAACCTTTGCGTTAATTAGTAACTATCAACCAAGTAACTTTCACACCACGTGTTTAAGTTTTCTGAAAGAACCATTCTCAACCACACATAAACCAAAGCTAAGCTGAGCAGGCAAGGCATGCATGCTCCATAAAATATCTCGCCGCCACGGATTAGGACCTGTGGGCCGGGCCAGGAAAACCGGTGAGCGAGGTTGTTGAGCGATGTGACGGTTCCGGCAGCCGGCCGGCGGCCGGATAAAAGTCGGGCGGCCTAAAACGATGGACGCTGACACGGACACGGACATTGACCCTGATTAATTGGTTGTTTAATTTGCTCGTGCGTGCGTGCAGGCTGAGGTGATCTTCCTGGGGCAGCTGCGGCACCCCAACCTGGTGAAGCTGGTGGGCTACTGCTGTGAGGACGCCCACCGCCTCCTCGTCTACGAGTACATGCCCAACGGCAGCCTCGAGAACCACCTCTTCGTCAAACGTACGTCCCTGCTCCGCTCACTCCATTTCTTTTTACTTGCTGCTTAGTTTGTCTCAATCATGCATATGGATGAATCAAATTGATTAAACCGTAGAAAATATATGATCTAGTAGTCTGCTAGCTGTGGTGATAGAGATGAGTTGGTTGACCTGCCTCCGGTAAGTACATTGACTTGGCATGCCCATGGACGGATGGAAACCAGCTGTCTGAATTCAAAAGCCCGTCAGCAAGTTGGCAAATGCCGGAATTTTAAACTGGAGTAGTTTAGTTGCACGGCGGCCGAATTTTCCCCAGCTAACTCGCAACGTTTTTCAGAGTTCTGACCAACTAAACTTGACTCATCTCTGAATTAACATACCCCCATGCGTGCACCGGAAGGCAGATCAGAGGTCGCTGGTCAGAACTCAGAAGCAAGTGAGGTCACGAGTTAAGATAGGTTGCCGGATCCATGTCGCGATTAATCTATCTCAGCACGCTACAATTTCCGCAGCCTCACTGATTGATCTCCTCTTGCACAATAGTCCTAGCCAGATCTCCTAACGCGTTGACCATCCCTGCGTTCAGAAAAATACAACAGTCTCGACAGTAGGCGCGAAATGGATACGATATCTCTGTCGGCAAGACAGTAACACTGTCGGGGCATCGATAGATTATTCCTTGTCTAGTGTATACAGAACAATTGACTAAGAAATGGAAAATGTAGCTCTGGGTGGAATCTTGGAATGATTTTTGTGTGTGTGATGTCTTGCAGAGGTTCCTTCGGCGCTGTCGTGGTCGACCCGGCTCAACATCGCCGTCGGCGCCGCGAAAGGGCTGGCGTTCCTCCACGACGCCGAGAAGCCGGTCATCTACCGCGACTTCAAGGGCTCCAACATTCTCCTCGACTCGGTGAGCCCATTCTCCGGCCTGCTCACCTCACACTACCTATCTAGTTCTAGCAGCAAATGAAGCTAAGTTTTGCTCATGTTTTTTGTCGATCCGTACGTGTGTGCAGGACAAGAAGCCGAAGCTGTCGGACTTCGGGCTGGCCAAGGACGGGCCGGAGGGCGACGACACGCACGTGTCCACGCGGGTCATGGGCACGCACGGCTACGCGGCACCGGAGTACATCATGACGGGCCACCTCACGGCGAAGAGCGACGTGTATAGTTTTGGGGTGGTGCTGCTGGAGATCCTCTCCGGCCGGCACTCGGTGGACAAGACCCGGCCCAGCAGGGAGCAGAACCTGGTGGAGTACGCCCGGCCCGGGCTCAGGGACCCGCTCAAGCTGGCTCGCCGGATCATGGACCCGGCGCTGGAGGGCCGGTACCCGGCCGCCGCGGCGCAGAAGGCGGCCGCGGTGGCGCACCAGTGCCTGAGCAGCAGCCCCAAGAACCGGCCGGACATGTCGGCCGTCGTGGAGGCGCTCGAGCCGCTGCTCTCCGTCACGGAGGACGTCGCCGTGGGTCCGGTGGTGCTGTTCGTGGCCGCGCCGGAGCCGGCGGCGGAGGAGAAGGAGAGGAAGGAGCGGCCGTCGAGGACGGCGAGGGACGTCGGCGCGCACCACCGGCGGAGGCTCCGGTCGCCGAAGGGCAGCCCCAGGAAGCGAGGGGCCGGGCCGAAGGAGGAGTTCTGGGTGTGGCACGTGCCGGCCGACGACGACAAGAAGCCGTGACGCCGGCGTGCGCTCCCGTCGGCGTCGTCGCGTCTGCATGTGCTGTACATACGAGAGAGAAAGAGAGGTGCTGCTATTGTTTAGGATTTAATTAGGATTGCATACGCATCCCTGTAGTTCTACGATCATGGCGAGTCTTCGTTTTTTCTCTTTGGTTTTCTTTTGCTTTGGATCTGTAAGTTCTTACAGTGAGATGCAGAATGTGGCCCATAAGTGGAGCTATATCAAACAAGAGTACTGATTGATCAACATAACGGAAATTTCGTCGCATGTTCGTCTTGGATTGAAGCTACGACAATGCGTATTCAGTCTGGGTGTCAATCGGTGCTAAGATAACAGGAAACAATCGGTCTTCTACGTGGTCTCGGTTTCGGTTGTACAATCTCTTTTTTTATTTGGAAATCTTGTCCGAAAATTACTATATTTCAATATGAAACATCAATATATATACATCCACTACCAATAGCATCATAGCCTGTTTGTTTTTCTGCATGTACGTCCGCCATGAAGACTTGCAAGAAGCAGAGGAGGAAGGCACCGACTCCGGAGTTGCTGAACGAGCTGGTTTGGGAGATCCTGATTCGGCTGCCGGTGGAGTCGCTCCTGCGTTTCAAGCATGTGAGCAAGGCCTGGCACGCAATCATATCCGACCCCTGGTTCATTCAGTCGCACCTCCAGCTATCCGCCTCCAGATGGGAGGAGAGGCCATCCTTGCTCATCACCCCGCATTGTCTCGACCGAGTCATCAAAGGTGAGAACTGGCCTACCACGTTCTCCAGCAGCATCTTCTTCTACCGGTGGCAGCAAGGCGCCTCCGAGGCGAGGCTCGTGCATGGCAGGGACCTCGACGGAGAATTCAGCTCCGTTTGCTACTTTGCCCACTGCAACGGCCTGGTGCTAGTCCCCACGGACACCAACGTCTACGTCTTCAACCAGGGACGTCGTCACGCTGCCGGAGAGCAGCCGGAACGTGTTGCCCGGTCGCGTCAACCTCTCCGTGGGATTCGGCCGTGATCCGCGCACCGGCATGTACAAGGTGGTCCGCTCCTTCTTCCGCCCCCGAGATCGTAAGACGGGCATCTTCAACATGGGGATGGAGGTCTGCACCCTGGGCGGCGGCGGCCGCCGCCATTGTTGGAGGGAAACCGCGGCAGATCCACCGTACCCCGTTGAGGCGTGGGTCACAGCCCAATCCGTCAAGGGGGCGGTTTACTGGACCATCGACATAAGCCATCTCAAGCCACGTCCACATAGCCTTCTTCGCTTTGGCTTGGAAGACGAGGCGTTCAGAATGACCAATTTGCCTGATTCTTTAGCCACCGGAGATGGTGTGTTCTTCAACCTGAATGTGATGCGGGGGGAGTTATGTCTGACTGACAATCCTGTTGGCGAGCCTGACGACCACCCTGTGATGATCTGGATACTCGTGGAAGACAACGGGCCCAGGTCCGTGTGGGAACCGCGTTACAAGCTAAATCTCACGGTCCCGTGCCAACCCTTGTCAATTCTTCCGGATGGTGCGGTGCTGATATCGCTGTTCGACAAACTCCGGCGCTATGATCCGCAGTCGAAAGAACTGACAGTGGTGTGTGAGCTTGACAGCCTGAGGTTCCGGCGTGCTAGTAGGTCAAGGAGGCCTGCCTTGAAGAATTTGCACTTCTTCAACGTCATCCCCTATACGGAGAGCCTCGTTCCACTCGTTGTTCGGAGCAGCTAATGCTGGCAGCATATTTGGATGTAATAATGTTTTATGTTATGAGACGGAGTGAGTAGCACTTTTAATTTAGTATGAATAATGTAAACACTGTTGAGTGTGGATTTTGTACCAACCCAGTAGTCGGGTATGGGAGCTATCTACACCATCTGTTTATCATTGAGATCCGTGTGTCACTTCACCATGTCTTCTCTCCACACTGAAATTTCTCAGAAATGCATTCTCTATAGCATCAATTTTTGCAACACAAAATACTCTGCAAGGTTCAATGCTGTCAGATAGTAGCCGTGCCGGTACCTCAACGAGCCCGACAACGATTATTGTTGGTAGTTTTGTTGAAATATGTGTTGTATATTAGGTGTACGAGTTAGGCTACAATTACTCCCTATGTTTATAAATATAAACCTTTTTAGAGATTTTAATACGGACTACATACAGATATATAGACATATTTTAGAGTATAGATTCACTTACACGTATATATAAGCGTCTGCATTTGTACTGTGTTCTAAAAAAGGATGTAGATTCACTTATTTTGCTCAATATAGTCTATATTGAAATCTATAAAAGGTCTTATATTTAGAAATGGAGGGAAAATATTTGTAATAAATAGAGAATTAGATGTTAGAGTCGAACACGTGTAACTTGAGCCTATTTCATAAGGACACTATGTGGTAGCCAATGGACTAGACATAAACAATAGGGGTTTCTCAAAAAAAAAGATAGGGTAGAAGAGATTACGAGAGGTACAGTTTGGCCAACCATATCAGGGGTGCCCGGACTGGCCATGGCGAGTGGTTGGAGCGCTGTCTAATGGGCTTGGTGGTTTTTTTATCAACTGTATCATTTCATTTGGTACATGGGGAGAAGCGTCTGTAGTCATGCCTGAAGATGTAGATATGTTGATTTCTTGGGCTTCTAGTCCGTTTTTCACCCAAAAAACAGCTATTAGTTTTTACAGGAGCTGGATATTTTTAAAACTACTACAAAATAGAAATATATTGTAGACAATTGTTCCATATGTATTATATAAAAAAGTTCAGTATATATTAAAAAAATGCAGAGTAAATTTTTAAAAATTTCAGTGCGTGTCAAAAAAAAATGTTCATTCTATAATTAAACAACCATCGTATATTAAATTTTTTTTACTCTATGCAACCAAAATCTTCACCATCTATTATAGAAAATATTCGGTGTGTATTTAAAACACATTTATCGTGTACTGAAAAGTTTGGTGTGTATTTGAAAAAATGATCACCGTATATTAAAATAAGTTCATTTTATATTGCAAAATATATATAAGAAAAAGAAACATGAAACAATTAAAAAAACATAAGACCTGAAAAAGAGTAAAACAAAAAAAAAGAAACCCAAGAAAAATTACACGCAAAAAGAAAAAACACTGAAAAGGCCAGCCTGTTTGGAGGCTGGCTTCAGCGAAGCCGCCCGGGCGGCGTACAGGAGGACCTCTATTATTTGCTCAAAAAAAAAGGAGGACCTCCATTCGAAAAATGCCAACGGAGGCTGATCTCCAGTGAGCTCGTTTTTAAATTTTTATTTTTTGAAGTGCGAAAAGTTCCAAATTTATTTGTGAACACACGTGCACATGTATCATATGTATATGCAAAACTTTACAGCATTATACGTTTACATGTGGCGTACAGAAAAAAGACAAATACACAATTTTCGATGGGCCTTTTATTTTTGTTATTGGGGTGGAAATTTGTTTTTTCGTACAGCCTACAAATCACAACATTTTTTGGCGAAATTTAACATGTTCTTGCAGAATACATATATATTTCCGTGGATTTTTTTTTACAGATTTTTTTGAAACGTTTAAATACGCTATTAGATAGCTCACTAGAGCTCGGCCTCCAAAAATCCCCGTCCGGCCTCTATTAGGCTACCCGCACATAAGAAAACGATGAAACGCACGGGTGCCCCTATATCTCGCGTTCAGCGAGAAAAGAGGAAGTCTTGCAGAACGCGAGATTCATATTGGGCAAGCCCATCACGCCGCTAACAACAGCCACAGGCCATATCCTCGTCTTTTTCCTTTTTTTGTATTTGTTTTTTGTTTTCTTTTAATATATCAATATTTCCAGATATTTTGTATTAAAAATTATTTACGTGTATTCTTAAAAAAAATTATCTAGCATTTAAAAATATTTAATTTGGATATAAAAAATGATTCTCATGTATACAAAAGAAAATGACGTGTAACATGTATAGAAAGAAAAATGTAGATCATGTAATTAAAAGTTGTTAATCCAAGCGTTTGAAAAAAATGTTGAACAAGTGTTCAAATTTTTTTTAATGTGTCATGAAAAAAATGTTGACCATGTATTCAATAAATAGTAACTTGTATTTGAAAAATGCTAAATGTGTATACAAAATATGTTGACATGTATTAAAAAAATATTAATCAAGCATTTGAAAAAATCTTCAACAAGTATTTAAAAAAAAGATAAAATATTTATATTTTTTACCATGTACTAAAAACATGATGATTTTTTTAATCATGTACATAAATTTTCTAATGAAGCATCAGAAAAATGATAAATGCGTTTAGAAAAATGTTGACCATGTGTTAAAACAAAGTTAATATTGCATGTTGAGAATATTAATCAATAATTTGAAAAATGTTAATATTATATTTAAAAAACGTTAATCGAGCATTTGAAAAGGCTTGAAATTGTGTATAAAATTTTCTTTCAATGAATTAAAAAAATTAATCTTATATTCTAAAAATGTTAATAAGCATTTGAATTTTTTTAAATGTGTATAGAAATTTGACTTTGTATTTAATTTTTTATAATTGTATTGGAAAAATGCTAAACATGTATTAGAAAAAATGTTGCTCACATATTGAAAATGCAGAATGAAAACCAAAAGAAACAAAGAAAATCACAAAATAAAACCAAATATAAAAGGAAATGAAAAATAAAATCAAGAAGCAAATGCAAAAAAGAATGAAAAAAAGCCGTAGAACAAAGAAGAAAAGAAACAAAAGATAACAAAAAGGAAAAATAAAGCTCAGAGAAACCCGAATAAAACAAAAAACGATGGAAAAAATCGGCTCTTTTACCTTAAGTAGGTCGCGCCCTGTCATCACGAAATCGACAGACACCCAGTGCCTAGTGTCACCGGCAAGTATCCTGGGACCTGGGTTTGAACCCCATTTCCCTCCTTTATTTCTCCACTATTTCTTTTATTAAGTGGGCCGGGCCATTTGCTAGTGACACACAGAAATATTTCGGCCAGAGATTCTTCCAACTCGCTTAAT